CTGCTTCCTCCTGGCCCTGCTCCCCTTGGTGGGAATAAGCAGCTACGCCAAGGTCAGCATCTGCCTGCCGATGGACACTGACACGCCTCTTGCTCTAGCCTACATTGCCCTGGTTCTGCTGCTCAATATTGTCGCCTTTGTCATCGTCTGTTCCTGCTACGTGAAGATCTACATCACGGTCCGGAATCCGCAGTACAACCCTCGCGATAAAGACACCAAGATTGCCAAGAGGATGGCCGTGTTGATCTTCACCGACTTCATGTGCATGGCCCCGATCTCCTTCTACGCCCTGTCAGCACTGATGAACAAGCCCCTCATCACCGTCACTAACTCCAAAATCTTGCTGGTTCTCTTCTACCCCCTCAACTCCTGCGCCAATCCATTCCTCTATGCCATTTTCACGAAGGCCTTCCAGAGGGATGTGTTCATCCTGCTCAGCAAGTTTGGCATCTGCAAACGCCGGGCCCAGTCATACCAGGGTCAGAGAGTGTGCCCAATCAACAGCACCGGGATTCCGATTCAAAAGGTTCCCCAGGACATGAGACAGAGTCTCCCCAAGATGCAAGATGCCTACGAACTCCTTGAAAACGCCCACCTCACTCCAAAAATGCAGGGGCAAGTCGCAGAAGAGGACAGGCAAACGGCCTTGTAAAGTGGCGCTGCACTGTTCGCAGTGGGACTTTAAAAGGCTGGCTTCTGGAACGCACATTCTAATCTAGGGCACGTGGATGCGTGGCTTCGGGCAGGTGAAGTTTCATAGGGACACAGTTCATCTCTAGTATTGTCTCCAAGAAGGGAGAGAAGCTAGCAGCATATCCAAGTCCCAGGTATCATGGATATAGTCCATGCTCTCCAGGGGACATGCTCCACGGATATCAACGGAACCCTTCCCCATCTGCCTTCTCTGCTTGTGTAGTGTTGTTTAATACTGAAGATCGCCAGTGTTCAGTTACTTAAGCAGCTTCATGCTGGCTCCCCTGATATAACCAAAGAAAGCTTTTGTCCCTTAAAGCTAAAATGCCACACTTGAGAGGTGGAGGCAGAGCGGATCCAAAGTTCATCCTTAGCTACAGAGTGAGTTCCCAGCCTGTCTAGTCTACATGATATCCCAAAGAACCCTGGAAAGCCAAACACGACTAGATGTTACATAATTGCTTCCACTAAACATGAAAAGGGGGAAGTTTAGCTGGGAGAGGTTTTTTTTTTTTTTTTTTTTTTTTCCCCTTAGACTCTGAAACAAGTGTCTCTTCACCAGCATCTACCTGCTGTGACCTGGCTGTCCTGCACTGGCTGGAGAACATGCTGAGATCCCATCTTTTATGGTTGAGCAATCTAAGAATTATCTTCTTGTAGAAGATGAGAGCTCCGGAAGACATTTCTAAGCAAGACGTGGGAATGAGTCAGAGCACACTTAGTCACCTGTTAACACTGTGACTACACACCAGTTAACTGCTGGGCTTCGAGCAAGTCTCTGGAACTCCAAACTGAAACGGAGGCGCTTGTTGCCTCTTCTGTTTTAAAAACTCTAGGTATAGCTCCTCTTTAAAGATACATCTTCATGTATCTTTAAATGTATCTTTAAACCTGGTTTTTCTATCTTGTGGAGCTGCTGTCTACTTCTTTTTGGAACCATGCTATGACCCAAGAAGATTTTCCTTTCTTTTGTTTTGATCATCATATCTGAACCAAAAATTCTTCTGAGTGACTCTATGGAGAATGAGCCTAACTATTCATCTGACTGTTATATCTATACTGCTGTTAAGTCCAAAACAGACGGACGTGTATGCACTAGACTAATAATACAGCCTGGCATGGTGGTGCACGCCTTTAATCCCAGCACTTGGGAGGCAGAGGCAGGTGGATCTCTGAGTTCAAGCCTACCCTGGTCTACAAAGCAAATTCCAAGACAGCCAGAGCTACACAGAGAAACCCTGTCTCAAGCAAACAAAAGAAGAAAATATAGACTAAAATATAGAGTTATTATGTGACTGTGTAGACTCATTTCCAAGCATTTACCTCATCCTCACAGGTCGGCTTCTTAGCACTCAGCATCTCATACCACACTAGCATTGTCAAGAGAGAAACCTTTTCATCTGACGCTGCCAGATCCCTTCTAAGCCTGCCAGTCGCTGACATAAAACGTTTATGGCCAATAGTGAGCTTGCTTCAAACGGCCAGGAGTTCGTGTCTACAGGAGTACCTTCTGGGTTTCCTGACTGGAGAGCTCCTTACTACACTGTTCTAGGGCCTCACCTCACCCGCCAAGCAGACCTGGCATTTGCTTCTCAGTGCTCATGACCCAAAGCATACAATAAAAACGTTTTGTCACTTTAAGTCTGTGAAGTAGGGTTTTGTGGGTCATCTCACTCGGCCCTTCCATGACGGCCCTGGCGCTTTGAACATTAGCATTGGCTTTCCCGACAGTTGACTCGTAACTACTGAAGTTAAGCAAATGTGTTACCCACGGCATGTGTTTCTCTCTTGTGATGTCTTGGCACCACATCTGGACAGACACTTGTGTTTCATCTTGAGTAGCTGATCTAGCGCTTTGAAAACGAAGTCCTAAGAGAAGTGACTCGAACAAGATTGTTACCAAAATTCACATGGGCAAAAGGCAATACATTTTCTTCCTGTACTAAGGTATATGGCATTTTGTTTAATTTGTTGATTTCTTTTGATATCAAAATTATACGTGTATGTTAAAATCAAAGAGGAGAAAACACTATGCACAGTTGCTGAGAAATCCACATTGATTGATTAGCAACTCCAAGAATGTTAATTAGAATCCATTAGTAGGCATCTATGGATAAGAATAGAAAGATAGTAAAACAAATACAGATTGGAATTTCAGCACGGTGGAGAGGTGGGAATTTTGTAGGTTCAGAGACTAATTGCTTAACTTGGGTTTAGTTTTAGCCAATCTGGAACAGCCATTCTTTGTCCCACTCTGTGTCTGAACTAACACCTTGTGGTAATAAATAAAAATGTCTTAGAAGCTATTAACTTAGCAGAACACTGGCTTCCACCAATCCAAGAATGCAATCAGATGACCTCTGTGGTCTATAGAATGGCTCCTCCATCCCATTGCACCCCCCTCTCTGGTGGACCCACCAAGGGATTTTTAATTTACCTTGATTTATGGTTTTCTTTGTTCTGTAAAACTATTTAAAAAAAAAGACTTTATAAAACTGTTTTCATGTTGGAACATAGAATTTGCAGTAATCTAAATCTGTGTTCCCAAGTCATAGTCACTTATAATCGCTCCAGAATAAACTATCTCTTAATCCCTATAAGATGAGAGCTAAGGTTCTTACATAGACAGGGGCTTGCTTACAGTTCCAGTGGGTTGTTCCGGTATCATCATGGCAGCAGAAAGGCAAGCATGGTGCTGGAGAAGTAGTTAAGAGCTATATCCTGATCTGCAGGCAGAGAAAGAGACTGGGCTTGGCATGGGTTTTTCAAACCTAAAAGACCGCCCCCAGTGACACATTTCTTCCAACAAGCCCACACCTCCTAAGCCTTCTAATCCTTTCAAACAGTTCCACTTCCTGGTGAGCACACATTCAAATGTATGAGTGTATGGGCTTATTCAAATCACCACAACTACCATGTGATCCAGAAACCTGTCTGTGGGTAAGAAACCCAGAATCCTTATGTGAGTAGAACTAAGGGGCTGAAGGGATGGCTCAGTGGTTAAGAGTGCATGCTGTTCTTGCAGAGGACCTATGTCTGATTACCAGTACCTCTGCCAGAGGCTCTCAAACCCCTGTAACTCCAGATCCAGAGGCTCGGATGCTCTCTTCTGCCATCTGATGGTACATGCACCCACATAGTGCACCCATACATAGATACATGCATATATAGTCATCAATTCAAAATAAATTCTTTCTTAAAAATATTTGCATTTTCGTGTTCATTGCAGTATTATTTACAATGATGAGACCACGCAGAAGCCTAGTTAAGAAACATACTTTGAAAAAACATATAGTCTTTAGGCAAGAAGGATTTTGACAACAATCTCGCTGTAATGTATTCTTTCCTGAGATTCAATTTTCTAAAGACCCTAGATACTGCGTCTACAGATCAACCCTCATGAGAATTACAAAACCCTCATTTTCTTATGATGCTTTTCAAGTTTTTCACCAAGAACCACATTAAAGAAACAAAAGTTCACCTCTCTGCCCATCAATGTCTGAGGCAGGTTGGGAGAGGGGTCCGGAGGTTAGAAGGGCTGAGAGCTGCTCCTGCCTGTCACCAGCTGCAACACTTGGAAGATCAGGCCTTGCACCTCACCTGGGCAGCACAGTAGCGCCAACCCCATTGGCAGAGGTGTGGGTGAGCCAGTCCTGATACCATGAGCATGGAAGAGCTGTCCCCATTACTCATCATCACTGTGATGTCATGGGTGAGAGAGATCCCCCCCACCTACCCATCAATGCCTGAGAATAAAAGCTGGCCCTGAAGTCAAAGAGCAGGAGATCTAGCCCTGTCCCTCATCGCTGCAGCACGCAGTAGAGCTGGCCCTGAAGGTGTAGATGTAGAAGATGCAACCCCGAGGACATGAAAGCAGAACCGGCCCTGCCCCTTGTTCATCACTGCAAAGAGTTAACTCACCAAGGTAATGCAGAAGAGATCAGTCTAGTGGTGAGGACAAGGGAGAGCTGGCAGGCTGACCACTATCCAGGCCCAAGCCAGGGTTATGGGGTGCCCCACCCCAATATCCACCCTGCCTTGTGATCTGCTGGAGCAAGTGAAGGGACCGGTCCTATAGACCCAAAGCTGCAAGATCTCTACAACCCAGGGGCAACAGCAGGATAGCCAAGAGGAGCTCCAGTAAGGGCCCCGCATGGATAGTGTAGCAGAATCTGGGGTCGGGGAGAGCTGCAAGGGCAGAGGCTGGATACGCAGGGACAGGAAATGAATGGGATCAAGATTCATGATGAGAAAAGCCCAATAAATTAAGAAGAAAGTCAAAAATAAAACAACAGGGTTTTGCGCTTCCGTAGAGGCCCGGCTCGTGAAGGCTCCGGATCCGGCTGCGAGATGAGCCTGGGGCCATGAGAGGTGACCTGGTGATAGTTACCAGCTGCACAGCTGATTAAGTAGCGGAGGAGATTAGAACTCAGTTCCTGGCCTCCCAAGATTGTTAAGAATGAGTCTGCGGAAGCAAACCCCTAGTGACTTCTTAAAGCAGATCATCGGACGGCCAGTTGTGGTGAAGCTCAATTCTGGGGTGGATTATCGAGGGGTCCTGGCCTGCCTGGATGGCTACATGAATATAGCACTGGAGCAGACGGAAGAGTATGTAAATGGGCAGCTGAAGAATAAGTATGGGGATGCGTTCATCCACGGGAACAATGTGCTGTATATAAGTACTTAGAAGCAGAGGATGTGAAGACACCAGGAGCAGCCCTCTTCACACTTGGATGTACTTGATTATGAAGAGCTTGTTTTTTTGTTCTTTTACGACCCTAGTTGCTGCCTGTTTTCATAGTGGTTGGTGTGTTTTGTTTTGTTTTTTTAATTGACATTTAAATAAGATGGAAGTGTTACATTACAAATCAAGTCTTAAACATTTCATGTTCACATTTACTCCTGTCTGTACAGAATATTAAAATAAAAAAAAAACAACAACAAAAAGAAAGGAGATAAACTTTTGAGAAAAGCAAGACTGCTATTCCTAGTTTTTGTAGGAAATTCAAATTTAAAATTTACAATGTTGTATCTCCTTTTCCTGACAGCAGGTGGAAAGGGCTTTAAAATGATACAGGTTATAATGAAAAACTCAAGGTAGACACTGACAAATAGTCCATAGGTCTATGCAAACACGGGACTCACACAATTACATTCTGTTTGCCGAGGTGCTTTTCTGCTTTCTCAAAGAGTTCCCTAAGCACTCAGACAGAAAAGAAGCACTAGGGTAAGTATTAATAGCTCCAACAAATGTCAGAGAAAAGGGATACCCTGTCAATCAACGCCCTGATCCAGGGGAAAGAGGAGATGGTCGGCATCATACTTGTTTTCACCGTCTCACAGCCAACTGGAGCAAACGAGAAAAACTGACCATGGCTGTGACACTCAGAAGTCCTCCCAGACATGCACACTGCCACTTGGCTTCATTTTAATTAGTACAGGGAAGCCAGTAGTGGGAGAGATACTTGAAATCCAAGCATGTCCTTCTGTTTAATGGTTTGTCCATCCGATCTAGAGAGCAACCATTCTCTTCCAATCACCCCCGTCCTGTGCTACACATGGAAAATGTGCACACTACACTAATCTTCCCAGAGTACACACATCTCAATTACCCCTGCCAACCTATTCCATTATGTCCCTGTCCATGTGTCTGTCCAAGTGGATATACTGGGTGGGACTCCTTGCCCCCAAACCACCACAATGGTTGATGCTGTATCTAGGAGAAATTGTAAAACTTTCCAAGAATTATTCTAGGTGGCAGAAAGTGTGTGTAGTGATCACGTGATAAGAATGGTTCAGCATTGGAGACCTTAATTACACATTGGTTAGTTCTAACTGTCAACCTGACACAGCCTAGAATTACCTAGAAAGAGTCTTAGTAAGGAATTGTCTAGAACAGGTTAGCCTGTAGGCATGTCTGTAGGGAAATACCTTGGTAACTGATGCAGGAAGACCCAGCCCACATTGGGTGGCACCATTGCCTAGGCAGGTGGGGTGGGCTGTTGGTGGTGGTGGCAGCTGTAGTGGTGGTGGTGGTGGTGGTGGTGGTGGTGGTGGTACCCTAAACAGTGTAGGAGAGGAGAAGCCAGCTGAGAGCAAGCGAGAGTCTATGTATTCTCTCTCTGCTCTCGATAGTGGATATAATGCTTTTAGTTCCTGCCTTGACTTCCCTGCAATAGTAAAAGAAGTATAAACCACATAAACCCTCGCCTCCCCAAGTTGCTTTTATCAGTGTATTTGTGAAGGCAACTGAAGTCATCTAGAAAATACACGACAGAGAAAGTGTGGCAATTGTTCCATAGCACCTGCCTTGGGTAGAGGCAAGTGGAGGGCAGGACTGGGAATTTCAGAAATATGTGGTTAACTCTTATGGCAGTTGCCCGGTATTAGCCATTTCCAGAGAACAATTCCTTAACTTTTTTGTAAGTTAACCGCCCAGCTAGTGGTGGGAAGACATGCCCAGAAACATGTAGCCCTTTTATTTCCAGAAGCAGCTCTCAGTTTCATCCTTTACAAACTGAGGCAGGATAAGAAGATGGTGTGGGGGAGGTAGCACATAAACGAGAAGGGAGAGGAGCCGGGCCCTCCCTCTAGAGTCTGGTTGACGCCTCTTGCCAGCTGAGAATTTCAGCACATTTAAGGACATTGGCTTTTTCTCCCTTCACAGCTACAAACCTGTAAGCTCCTAGAAATCTCACCAGAAACCCCATATATACTACAAGAAAGTTCTCTACACCCCATAGGCAATGAGAATCCTGACAGGTCTAACTTTATCTAGTGAGGTTATCTTTTCCTGTGAGAAGCCCTGTTTGGTCCCTGAGGTCAACATTTTTTCCTCTTACGCATAATTTCAGAATATCACATCTCCGATCACTTTGGACACCTGCCTAGTCTTTGGAACTTGGTTTTACAAGCAAAGGTATCATACACCTGTTTATAACAGATCTCTCACCAATTAGAGGTTCCATACCTTTCAATGTCTCATTCAGTTGTCCAAATACATGCCTAGTACCTGAGGAGCCAGAGGACAAGATCAGATCCTCAGGAACGAGTTACAGAGTGTTGTGAGCCACCATGTGGGTGTTGGGAATGGACCAAGGACTGCTGGAAAACAGCAGCCAACGCTCTTTACCACAGAGACACCTCTCTGGTCCCTCCACAGAAAGAGAGAGGGAGGGAGGGAGGGAGGGAGGGAGGGAGGGAGGGAGGTGTTGAAATAGGAGCGGCAGGGCTGCGTCCCCAGCACCCGGCCACCCGCATGGCTAGCTTATGCCCGAAATAATTACACGGAAACTGTATTCCTTCAAACACTGCCTGGCCCGGATAGTTCCAGTTCCTTATGGCTAGCTCTTACATATTGTTCTAACCCATTTCTAATATTCTGTGTAGCCCACGAGCTGGCTTACCAGGGAGGATCTTAACCTGCGTCTGTCTGGA